TGGAGGTATGTTTCTTTAATAAATTATTGAGATATGGGCGATTTTATGATGCACGAATTTTTATTTAAGTTTGTGTACAAGATTTACGGAAAGAGTTTTTAATTTTAGCTTTGATAATTTTTCAATAATATTTTGATTTTTTACAAGACATATGAATTGATTTAAATAAGAATATTTCTTTATCAATAATTGGTATTTCACTGCTTATCATATTCAATTATTAGTTTGAACAAGATACAATTTTTAATAGTTAGGGCAGTGTTATTTATCACCTGATTTTTTTTTATCAGAGGCTTACCCCCTCTTACTATATATCTTGATCAAATCTTTATATATAATTTTAAATTTTTTACCCCCTCCCCTCTAAAAAATCACCTGATTTTTGTTATCTTATTGTACTTTTAAATCTTATATTAGATTTAATTTATTTATATTAATTTAGTAACCTATATATTTTTCAAATTGCATTACACTTTTTATAAATTAATTGATAAAATCATAATATAAAACTTTCTATTTTGTAACAAATAAAAAATTTTTTTAAATAGCTGCAAGATGTGCAATCAAAAACAAAAACATATTTGTACATCTTTTTATCCTCATTATACTTACATATTATTCGAAGATATTACTTTTTTTTTCTAATTCAAGGTTATTACCCAGGTAGTCGGCATATGTTTTTGTAAGCGTACCTGCTAATAACCTTCCTTTTTCTGTCTTTTTATTCTTGTTACTTTCGTGTTTTTTTTGTATTTTTGTACTGGCACCAAACATGAATAAGTCAAATCGTAATCGGGCAGTGAAGAATCAGGCTTCAGATTCGCAACCTATATATATATAATATCTACGTATCACATAATGCAACAAATCTCTAACACGAAATAAGGTTTGTTTTGATTCAACGGGATTGGTATTGTATAAAAAAAATTTAGTTATTTTTATGCGCAACATTGCATGTCGTGGAACCACGTGACAAACCTGGAAGTTCAGAAGTTGGATATAACCTGAAATCAACATATTTTAAGTATATAGAGAAGATTAGTGAAATAGATCAAAAATGTCTTCCAATCTTGTTCAGTTTGTGCCATTTTCATCGGCTGTTGAAGCACCATTTTGGCATACTCTATCCACGCGTAAAATTGATCTGTATAAATTAGACGATGCACCACAAAACATTTTAGGATATTATTCCGTTGGTTATTCTCTACGATCACAGCATGCCACCGAAGCTAACATTACCATGCCAGCTCGCCTATATCTCGGAACCGGGGCTTTCGATACTAATACTACGTCGTTTTCTTTGTAAGTCTAACTTTTCCTGAATATCAAATTACTGAATGAACTTTCTTAGTTACGTAGTGAATGCGAAATTTTGTCGGTTTTAAACCTTAATTCCTGCGCAGCTTACCACCTTTCACCTATCCTTCACCTGGCGCAATAAAGAATACCAACACTATAGAAGAATTCAAAACACTTGATAAGACTGCATTGTTCAGAGGGACTGCTGAACAAGTAAGGCTTACTAAAAACCTCAATATTTCCTCAAAGAATTATTTTTTGAGTTTACTCAAAAATATTCTCCATTTTTTGCTAAATTCGGTAAATAGATTTGGCAAGATATCATTTCCGGTGCTGCTGTAAAAGATCCTTACCTTCTTACACGGTTTATCCTTGTCACCTTTGCTGATTTGAAAAAATATAAATATTATTACTGGTTTGGGTTCCCTGCATTACTCACTGAACCACCATGGATTATTGTAAATAATGAAGTCAAAGGTATTGATGAAGTATGGGATAGTACAGAGGTCAGTAGTTTGTAGAGCTGTCGATTAAATTGCTATTGTAATTTTTTACCATCTGCTTTAATTTCTTGTACTAGATCAAGTCTTTGAAGGAAAATTATGATAAATTCAGAGAAGTACAGTCTGGTTCATGCACGGGATTCTTCCTTATTAAACAACTTAGCAATAAAGAAATAGCAATTGGTAATTTGTCGGAATGGGACACATTTTTTGATGGATGCAATGATGAAGAGGTACCGTATATATATATATATCTTATTATTATTTTCTTTTTTGGCAAAGAATTCAAATATTTTTTATATCGTATATCATTGCATCAAATTAGAAAATAGTAGGGTTCGCCGATCCATCAAGCTTACCTACCAATCCCGGGTGGCCTCTTCGTAATCTTTTAGTATTACTGAAACGTCACTGGAATGTGAATAAAATTAAAGTGATATGTTATAGAGAAATCCCTAGTAAAAAGGATATTTCAAACAGTCGTATTTTGACTGTAGAAATCCCTGATACGACAGTAATGCCTGGTGAGCAATGTTTATGATTCCAATCATAATTATAAAAAATTTCGATTAATTTGGATTCCTTAATTATGTAATCATTAGATGAATGTCCAAAAGCTGTAGGATGGGAAAAAAATTTATTAGGTAAACTTGGACCCCGCACTGTTGATCTTGCCCATATGATGGATCCAATAAAGTTTGTGATTTATTTTATTGCAACCTATTTATTATTTCATCAATTCAATTCATTCAATTTCCATATACCATTATTTTTTTTTCCTTAATTGACTATTATAGACTTTCTGATACCTCCGTTGATTTAAATTTAAAGCTAATGCGATGGCGTATAGTTCCTGATTTGCAGTTAGAAAAAATTAAGGATACAAAATGCCTATTGCTTGGCGCCGGGACACTCGGTTGTAATGTCGCCAAGTGTTTGTTGGTAATTAAACAATATTTATTTTTATCATGTACTTGACACCAGCAGCTACGGCTAATCTGGTAGTGCTTATTAGGGATGGGGTGTTCGACATATAACCTTTGTCGATAACGCGCGTGTTTCTTTTTCCAATCCTGTCAGACAATCATTATTCTTTTTTGAAGATTGTTTAGAAGGTGGTAAACCAAAGGCAAGCGCTGCTGCGGAAAATTTGAAGAAAATACATCCTAGTGTTGTACGTATAACTTATTAAATTTTAGCTCTCAAATTTTTAATAGTGCCATAACAGGTTATATAATTATTCATGTTAGGTAAGCGAAGGTCATGATATTAGTATTCCGATGCCAGGTCATCCTATTACTTCGGAGTCTCAAGTCAAGGCTGATGTGGAAATGCTCATACAACTTATTGAATCTCATGATGTCATATTTTTATTAATGGATAGCAGAGAGAGTAGATGGTTACCCACATTATTAGGTGCAAATATGCGTAAGGTTGGTAGTTAACTGGACTATTGACACACGATGTATTTATATCGTGTGTTTTTATACTAAAAAACATATCTTTTATCGTAGCTCGTTATAAATGCCGCCTTAGGGTTTGATACCTACGTGGTAATGCGACACGGTGTAAAAGATGATTCAGAGTGCCAAACAACTAGCTCTTCTGATAAAGCAATGCCGTCAGTGAAACAGCTAGGTTGCTATTTCTGTAACGATGTAGTAGCGCCAACAGATTCTCTCAAGGATCGTACCCTTGATCAACAATGTACAGTGACCCGGCCTGGTTTATCAGCTATTGCTTCTGCATATGCTGTCGAACTAATGGTGTCTGTCCTACATCATGAGAAAGGGTATTATATATTTATTATTTTGTAACTACTAATTGATCAAAGTATGTAACAAAATATTTACCATCGCGTTAACAGTCCGGCTGCCCCCGCTGATACGAATGCCGAACCAACCTCTTATTCTGATTTTTCTTCATCGTCGCCTTTGGGAATTATACCACATCAAATGCGGGGATTTTTAACCCATTTCAATAATATGATTGTTGTGGGACAAGCTTATGAACGTTGTACGGCTTGTTCAGAAGCAGTGCTAAATGAATATAAAACAAATGGCTTCGAATTTTTGAAACGTGCTTTTAATTCTCCTGCTTGTCTGGAAGAAGTAACCGGATTAACAAAATTACATCAGGAAAGTGAAGTCGCTGATGATTTTGATTGGGATGAAGAAGATACTGAATTATAATTACATGATCCATTCCATTTGTTTGTGTTACGTAGAAATAAGAAAATATGATAAGTTATTTTATTATCTATATAATAAATTTTTAATATCCATGCGTCTAGCATTATATCCATCATTTAATGATGGGTCTAATATCTAGTTTATTCGTCCTAAGATAATATACAATTTGTATTGTTTGTTATTCCCCAATTGGTTTATTTATTTTGACCGCATACATCAATTTATAAAGTTCACCTTTCAAACTTTAAAGTATATTGATGAGGTTCTTAAGCAGCTTTCTGATTGAAGCAATTAGTGATTTGACCCGGGTCACCCGCGGGTGGGTAGGTAACATTGATATTGCCACCTGGGTGGGCCAACCCGTGGACAGGGACGATGATTTATGCTGCAGTAAACCGTTAATTATGCATACAACAAAAGTAAATAATTATGCGCGTATTCTGCATCCATAATGTAATAGTGTTTATTCAAATTAAAAAACACGACCAGGGCGGCCACCGATTTTACGGGTCATGTGGTGGCGCCACCAATGTTCAATATGCACAATATGCAATGCAGGGTCAAAATTTTCATAGCGATAGCTCTATGGATCCAATACTGATTCGTTTGCAACAATGTCATTACCCATATGACCCGTAAAATCGGTGGTCGCCCTGGTCGTGTCAAATTAAAACTCGGTCAACCAGGTTTGTGGCGCAACTGTGACGCATATTGCCTAAACTACGAATCAGATTTCAAGATCAGATGTAACGTAACACGATCATGAAAATTCAAAACAAATGTTCGTTCGAAAATCTGTATAAGAAACCAGCTTTAGTGCTCTAACAAAAAGTTTTTTCTTGAGCGATTTTACTATATAATTACCTCACCTCTAACCTTATTACAGTCAACACTCTCTAAGTGCACGTTCTCTGAGTGCAACTCTTAATAAAATTTTCTATGCAAGGCCTTTTTTGGTCCCAAGTATATAGAGAAATATAAATTTTGTATTCTCTAAATGCAAGATTTTAATTTTTTTATATTAAATTTTTCTTAGTCCCGGCGACTTGCACTTAGAGAGTGTTGACTGTATAAACGCTAACCACGCTAACCCTAACATTAACGAACTTTAAGGTTTTTGCTGCGCCACAAACCTGGCCATTAATGGGCAAATTTGCGAATACGATAATTTAGCAAATGATTGGCTGCATGTGCACATGTTCAATTGTTTTGCGTACGTACGTAAAAAAGCATTACTATACTACGTATGCATTTATTATACGTATTATTTGTCGATAAGCATTACTAATTAAAAAATTTATCCGTATAATATCGCACACCCTAGCCTATTGTCGTACCTAAAAATTAACCAATAATATCCATTTAAAGTCACGTGCTCGAGATTAACCAATTAAAGCAATCAACTTCGACTTCGATAATTAGAGTCGATTAAAAATTAGTACTTACGTTTTCACCACTATAAATATTTTCAGATTTTTCTGAAAATAATTGATACCCTTTCCTGATAGGATATCCGCGTGCGGTACCGCATTGTGTGCACATCACTTGGAGTTGTGGTTCCGGTTTAGCTATTTTTGATAAATGGATAAAACTAAATTTTTTCTTTTCTCAAAAAAATCAAGTCAAACTTTTTAGAAAAGCTTTTTTTTTTTATTTATTTACGTTTAATTCGGATACGCGAAGTAAGACCCGGTAAGAGTACTGATTCACATTTTTTGCATAAAGTTCTTTTTATTGAAGGATCGATTCTGAGAACTTGTTTAGTGCCAATAGACTTCATTGTAGAGATATAAAAGCGGGAAAGCGGGATTAAATTTCTATTAGTACTAGTTGAAGAAGTAATCAATGAACTCTGCGATTCATCAGATTTATTTATAGCA